CCCTTATTGGACAGTGGAAATCACCCTCAGTAGCAGGGGCCAAAGTATGAAAGTAAGACAGTGCTTCTGTCCTTCCTTTGCAGAACTAGAACAAAGAGCAAAGGAAAGTAAGATGAGCAAATTCCAGAGGGCTCATTGTGGTAAATCAGTTTTACTGTTAAAGCAGCAATTCCTATACCTATAAAATGAAGTAAAGAACAGAAAGTAGATTACATTGAACATGTTTATAAAGAAAAATCAGAAATAGGGATGGCATTCTAATACTGTTTTTAACATGACGTTATGTTGAGTCATGGTGATGCAACTGTATTAAGTAAACATCACAATGCAAAGGGAAGAAGGTTATGTTATGATTATTTGGTGCCTCTGAAAAACAGCTTGCTGTTAGCTTTTGGAAAGAATTCCTATTCTGTGCTATGTAACCCCCGGGAATTTAGCTATGGGAAAGTGCATAACTTTATTTATAAAGAATCTAATACAAAAAGGCATCCCAGTTGAACTTGTAGTCGATATATCATTATTAGACCAACATGGTATCTCCTCCGGCTTGTATACCTTAAATGGTTTTTGCTAAAAATAAAACCTATTGATATAAATGCCTTTTTGTTAGAACCAATCAGACCTGTGTATCCCAATTAGTGCTGTTGTTTGTTGTTGTTATTAGTTTTGGTACATCCCCACGCTGCCATGAAGCTCACTGGGTGACCTGGGGCCTGTCATACACGCACTCAGTCTACATACCTCACAAGACTGACGATCAAAGGCAAAGAATCACAGCTGTCACTGCCTCCCTGCACTGGACATAGGACAGAGTACCGTAGCTTTGGTGGTGAACCTGGAGAAGTTCTTGGTTGCACAAAGCAGTACTTGCAGTCATGACAATACACTCTCGGGTAAATCAGCTCTTGCATTATTTGCTTTTAATGCAGAAGGGTGTTTAAAGATGTGTGCAAACTGCTGAGTATCAACTAGGGATCTGAAGAGCCATGTTACTGCAGCATCAGTCAAATCCATGCCCTACTTGCCAATGTCTGGCCAGTTTTTGGCTGCAGATTAAAGGTCCTGTCTACAGTGGTTTTGCCTGGCTGCAGGACTTGCTTACTACAGCCCAGCTGGGCCAGCCTTTGCGTGGGTCTCCTCCCCAAAGATACCACATTGGGTACTCCTGGAAACAACACTGTTGTAAAGAAGCCAAAGCAGAACAAAACTTTTGTGTGGAATCAACTGATACCTTTTTCTGTTTGCCATCCTAGCTACCTATAGTTGTTATTAAATCACGGTACCTCTGTAAAATCTGGGGGTTATATAGGACCTCATCACCTTCTATTTAAGTTACTTGGTTTTTACCAGCACTTAAGCCACAAATAGTTAGTGCAATTCTGAAGACATGAGCTGTGTGACTCACAAAACTTCATACTGAAATAACCATTGTTAAATCTTTAAGATACCATTGGAATTTTGTTTTATTTTGGGACAACAGACTAACGCAGTTTTTGCAGTGTTGCAATTCTACTCTTCCACTAGTTCTTTTACCACTGTTGATGGATGAGGTAAGGAAGTTGTGTGATTCTCAGAAGTATCTCCTGGAAGTCCCTGTAACATTACCCACAACAAAAAGAACAATTATCCATGATAATTCTTTCTCTAGAAAGTCTTGTTCATTAACCTAAGTGATCACATAGTCCTTTAAATACAACCCTTCTCCTAAAGGGATCCCAGTATTTCAGTAAAGGAAAGTTATGTTGTGGTTACCTTTTCCTTAAAGGTCTTGCCCATGCTAAACAAAATCACCCTCCCAGTAAGACATTTGAATTTTTGAACAGCATTCACTGGGTTGAGGTTAAGAAAAAGGCATCTTTCCACAAGGAAATATGCTTTCTTATCTTATAAAATAGTACATACTTACTAGATTCCCTGCCCCTAGGATCCTTTTTGGCATTTTCCAGGACTGGTGATTTCCTTGAGCCAGAACCAGGAGGGTTTTTTTTTAAGCATTTTTTTTTTGCAAGAGCAAGAGCTAGTTGAGAAATCTCCCAAACAATGCACTGTTTGCCTTTGAACTCTTCAAAGTACAAAGTTTAAAATGAGGACAAGGGCAGTATGGGAATGTCTTGAAAGCTGTAAACGTCTAATCTATAGTGCTGTTTTAGAGTTCCAGAATATTAGGGAGCTAAGAGTAGCTACAACTAACTACTGAAAGATGTTGCATATTACATACAGTATACTTTTCCCAAGCAACTTCAAGAAAATAATCTCAGCAGCACCGAGATTAAAAGGCGCACACTTGGCTGGGTGGCAGACTTCTCTCCCTCTTGCTCACCGCCTCACACACCTACCCACCAAGAAGAGCCACCTGGGTCCACGCCTGCTGCCCCCCCCCAGCAGCTTCCGTCGCCCTGTGCTGACAGGAGTAGCTGATTTTTATGACCTGCTTGTTCTTAATAACGAAGCTGTTTGATTAATTCTGTTCTGATTAATAACACAACACGAGGGAGGCAGCTCGCAGGCTGGATTAAAGCCCTGGGCTGGCTGGTTCCAGCCTGGAGGCCGTATGTTTGACACCCCTGCTCTAGTATCTTTTCAATTTGAGATTTTAAGGAATCTTGAATCTTGTGTTTGGTTTTTTAGTTTATTCTCCATATGCATGCAAGGTATCATGCGAACAGCAGCCAATGAGTTCTTTCCCTGCTTTTAAAGCTCTTAGCCATGAAATGCTAGAAGTACAGTGCAGTCTGTGACATTTCTCTGAGCTCAGATGCATACAAGATAAGCAACAACAGTAATTAGTGATAACACAATCTTCCTAATTTTGTTAAATTAATCTCGCACCTGTGGTGTGAAAAAAAACCATTGTCTTGATTGGATTCTAAACACATACCATGAAATTTGCTGGTAAATTCTAGTTTAGCAATGTCATGCTGGAATCTTCCTTTGAAGTTCTCTTTTATTTACTGGTTATCATTCCAGCCAGAACAATTCCAGATAAATCTATCAGTTTATTATTCTTCAATATTCTGGATTAATATTTGAAACAATTTACATCCAATCTGGGCAATAATGCCTTGTAGACTGATGACTGCCAGCAGCGGCTGAGTGTTCTCCTGCTGGTTTCTACTGTTTTGTCTATTTATTCTTTTGCTGTTTGTCCTACCCAGATAGAATGTTTTGGTACGAAATTATAGAAGTGATCCTAATGCACGTTTACTCCCATTTTATTCAGTAGGATTTACTCCCCGGAAAATATTTCTAGGATGGGAGTCTGCGTAGATCTCACTGGAAAATGTTCCTCATATGTTCCCCCGCGAGCACTTCGGTCTGGGACACAACATCTCCTGGCAATGCCAGGTCCCAGAGAGGCCAGGCTGGCCGCTACCAGGGCCAGGGCTTTCTCGGTGGCGGCTCCTACCTGGTGGGATGAGCTCCCGATGGGGATCCGGAATGAGCTCCCGATGGAGTTCCGGGCCCTGCGGGACCTTGTACAGTTCCGCAGGGCCTGCCAGACGGAGCTCTTCCACCAGGCGTATGAGTAGGAGCCGCCACTACCATCATTATTGTTCCATCTTACCTGGCCCTGGACGAGGGAACACCAGTGTTTCCCTGGAGCGGATGATGCGAAGGAACAGAGTAGTGGCAATAGAGCTGTTACGCCATCTTGTAAAATAACATCCAGAGCACTTTATTTATTAACTGTTTATAATGTTATCTGTACTGTGATGATTTTAAATGATTTTACATATGTTTTATATTGGCGTATGCCCTTGTAAGCCGCCCTGAGCCCGCGTAGCGGGGAGGGCGGGGAATAAATTGAATTAAATAAATAAATAAATAAAATGAACACATACAGCCCTGAGTGCTATTGCTAATGTTATAATGTTGTCTAAGTCTAAGTGAATAAATAAAACTGGTATCTTGTCCCTGGACTTGCAACGTTTTTGAATAATTAAATGTCACTGTGGGACCAACTTTCGTCACACATTGCTTTTACAACATAGGGTCGTCAGGCAGCAAGGCTTGCCACAATGAGTTCAACGGATTCTCCCACTAAGTAAATACGCTGATCTGTTTAATGCAAATAATGTAGCTTGAATACTGAGTTATAAAAACGCATTTTACCGCTTAAAAATGGATGATCATCAACCGATACGGTTAAGTAAATCTAAAACAAAGGACACGAGTGGGATGGGGATGGCGAGCCACGTGCGCTACACTAACTGCCCTAGTCTACGGAGATACGGGAGCCTCGTTCTGTCCGCGGCGATGCTGGGATGGGGCTACTGGTGAAAGCCACTGGCCCCGATTCCCGAGTCAGTAAACCCCCTCAGCATAACAAGCAGCAACCTTCCCGTAGACTCCATCCCTTAAACACGAGCCATGTGGCCGCACGCCCTGCAAGAGCCTCCTGAACACGAACCGCCGCCGCGCGCGCTGTAAATCCTCCACAGAAGTGACGGTTCCTGCCTCTCCGTCTCCCCCCCCCCTTTCTCTTTCGCTGCCCCGCCCGCAGGCTCGCTCGCGCGCGCGCTCCCCCTCTCCAGCTGGCTGCCTGGAAGTGGCGTACGTGCAAAGCGGAGCCGGAGAGTGGCGGCTCAAGCTCCACCCCCTCCGCTTCGGCTCAGGCAGCCGCAGCAGCAAAAGGGGAGGGGGCGAGAGAGGCTCGCCGGGCGGCGGCGGCGGCGAAGAAGGGGAGGCTTTTCCTCCTCTCCGCTGGGTTGCATGAGGGGGGGGAAGTCTCCCTGGGAGGCTCGTCCCCCCTCCCGAGCCCGGCTGCTATGAGGCGGCCGCCGCAGAAGTGAGCCTTGGAAGCGGCTGACAAGAGGGCGGCAGCGTGAGGGCTGAGCGGCCGTCCTCCGCCCACCAGGAGAGCGGGAAGCGGGCGAGGCGGCGGGGCCGCAGCGCAGCTCTGACGGGAGCGGCCATGATGCAGTAAACGGCTCGCCTCCTCCGGTTGCCGAAGGAGGCCGCAGCGCACCAAGGGCGCCTCAGAAGGGGGACGCGACAATATGGCCAATGACAGCGGTGGGAGTGGCGGGGGGGGGGGAGGCGACGGCGGCAGCAACGGTGGCGGGAGCGGCGGCGGCACGAGCAGTGCCAGCAGCGAGCGGGACCAGCAGTACTGCGAGCTGTGCGGGAAGATGGAGAACCTGCTGCGTTGCGGGCGCTGCCGGAGCTCCTTCTATTGTAGCAAGGAGCATCAGCGCCAGGACTGGAAGAAGCACAAGCTCATCTGCCGGGGAAGCGACAGCGGCGCGGCAGGGGGCGCTGCAGAGCGCCCAAGCGGCGGAGACCATGCCCACCACCACCCGCGGGGCCACAGTCACCACTACGACGCCGCGGCAGCAGCAGCAGCAGCAGGCGGCGACGAAGTGGATTGTAAGGAAGGCGCGGCCGCACCACCACCAACAGCAGCAACAGCAGCAAAGAAGAAGGCGACTGCGCTGCCTGCCAAGCCACGGCTGGACACCAACTCGGAAGAGAGCGCGGTGGTGGCGGCGGCGGCGGCAGTTACGAACAACCACGTTGGCCAGGCAGCACCCGAGGGTCGCGGGCAGGAAGAGGAGGACAGGGACGTGGCAGCGACCGGGGAGACGGGGCTGCTGTTGTACGGTGGGGGTCCCACCGTGGCTGGAGGGGCGTCCCTGCGTCCCAACGGGCAGATGAAGTCGCTGGTGCCGCAGCGGCTGGCGCTGGAGTACATCGTGCCCTGCATGAACAAGCACGGCATCTGCGTGGTGGACGAGTTCCTGGGCAAAGAGCTGGGCGGGCAGATTGCGCAGGAGGTGCGCGCTTTACACCACACCGGCCGCTTCACGGACGGGCAGCTGGTCAGCCAGAAGAGCGACTCCTCCAGGGATATTCGCGGAGACAAAATCACCTGGGTAGAGGGGAAGGAGCCCGGCTGCAAGACCATCGGGAAGCTCATGAACAGTATGGACGATCTCATTCGCCACTGCAATGGCAAGCTGGGCAACTACAAAATCAACGGCAGGACGAAAGTGAGTGATGCCCCCCCCTCCCCCCGTAACGTAGGGTCGCAAAACACCCCACCTGCAGGGCTCTTTGTGTATCGGTCGGCACGGCCACGCCCCCTTCTTACTCTGTCGAATGCTGTAAACGCTTGTTTTCCACAGTCCTCTTTTAGGGCAGCGTGGAAGGGCAAGTTTCGCAAACGGATAGGCAAATGAGTTGACGGTGGATTCCGAAATACTTTTAAAGTCATGCTTTTAATGCATACGTGGGAAGGAAGTCCAATTGAACGTCATGGGTGTGTTTCTGGGCAACTGTGTATATCCGAATGAGCCCTCCAAGCCCTAGACAGAGCATTCGCCTTGCAGAATATTTATTCCTCACAACACAAACTGATGTAGAATCATACTGGATTCACAACGTGCTTTGAAGTCCAAATGGATGGAATGTTGAGCAACAACATCCCCAGTAAGCTGTCGCTCTTAATTTATAGACCAATCAAAAAAGTCAAACTGGGTGTGGTCAGGGAGGTAGTAACCATAGCTCAGTCTCCACTTACTCTCTTGTCAACCCGTTCT